CAGTGTTCTGTCCTAATGTTCTTTTTCACATAACCCCACATGCACACATGCACATACTTTTTTTTTTTTTTTTTTTTTAGAAGAACACTCAGAGGGATACTAGGTTGCTAGATTCACGGAGAAATTCACTCCCCTCTCATCCTCATCCCCTTTCTGTTCTCTTGGGCTCTCACTAGCTGGAGACCAAGTATCCCAGCCTTGCTCAGGACCCACCTCTTGGTCTCCTTTTCTTTCTGCCCTGACCAGTCCATCTGGTCACAGAGTGTATTTACTTGTCCTAAAGTTGCCAGCTGACCTGTGGGCCCTGGACTAAGTGCCAGCCACTTGTGCCTGAAATGAAGGATTAGGGGAATGAAAAAATAAATACTCAAAAGGGCTGTCAGTGAGGTCAGTGTGCTCTTACCACAGATCAAAGGGCCTAATGACATCTTAAAAACACTTTATTCAGCCCTGCAAATAAGACTTTCAAGTAGGAATTAAGGGTCTCTTTCTCTGGACTTTCTCAGCACTACATCTATTCTAGTTGCTAAATATGGAATGCACCATTTTGCACAGTCAGAGCCTCTGTAAGTTCCTCTTTGTGGCCCAGAAATGGTTCAACCAGGTAGTCCGGGGGAGCCTACAGTCTCTCAAGCAAATAGTGGTCAAACATGTTGCCGTTTGAAATGTATCCATTAAGAACCCCCAAATTTCAAAGTCCAAGTGGAACAATGAATTGAAATTCATTCTACTATCATGTATAACTAATTAAAACAACAGCAACAAAAAAAGTCCAAGTGGACCCAGCTGATGCCCAGGGGTGGTTGGGTTCCAGAATGTTTGGTTGCAGTATCACTTTACATCAATCAATCCTCCACATTCAGCATGGCCATAGAAGAGAGGGCATTATGACATGTGCACTGGTCTTATCTGACTTTGCAGGAGAAACATGCATCACAAGTTCACGCCTGTCTACCCAAGGCCTTTCAGTCAAATATTAGAGTGAAACCTACCATAAGATTCCTGCTGTTAGTCACAGAGAGGCTTAATAGTTACAGATAATTAGAGCAGATAGTAATAAAATATTTTGGTCTCTGAGTAGCTTAGTGATTACACAAGAAGATGACTTTCCTCTGTGTCCTTTGTTAAGGTCTCTTAATATCCATCCATTTGTTCTAAATCTGTTTGCTGAGCACCTTATCATTCACTGCTGGAGCACAGTTTCACCAATTAATTCTCTGTGATGTTAGGGAAGTTCAGGGCTATAGGATCCATGAGAGTCTGAATAGCCATTTCCATTTTTATATCCAGTGCCTGGAAAAATATTTGACAACCCAATTAACATTTTATTTTCTCTAATAGACACCTAGTTTTTTTCTCTAGTATATAAAACATAGATAACTTGAGATGGTCAAGCAATCATTAAACTTGTGAGAATGCTCTGATCGTAAGCAACTCAGGTGTCAGTGTTGTGTATCAAGGGTATACAGAACAAAAACAGGGTCCTAGAAAAGCAGACATCAGAGAGCTTGCCACTGGCTGGTCATTATGGAATGTGGGCTGGTTTGGTAACAGGAGGGTTAAGAACAAGAAGGAGACTTGCAAGTATACCACTAAACTGGGTTTCCCAATATACTACAGGAAAGGGGTTTCCCAATGTACTACAGGGAAGACCACCCTTCCAGACAGGGGTGGCTTCAAGTCACTCCCACAATGGCCCCTGGCATTGTGAGAGACAAAAATTTCCTGAGAGCCTAAGAGCACATAATCCTAGTTTCACTTGCCACCTAGGCCACTATGGTTGAGGATGTAGGCACAGTTTAAGATTTGAGCTGAAAGTTGCTCATGTATATTAGCACAAGAGACCCTCTGTGCTCAAGGGCTTAAGGTAAGACTTGAACTTCTGAACTATTTGCTTCAGTCCTCTTTAATCAGATTGTTCATATAGAGCCCAAATGACCCTCCTTACAAGTCTTCTGTGCTCGAAGACAAACCAGGCACTCATGCTCGTGGGTCCTGGGGATTTGAAGGTTTCTCTCAGGGTTAGTTTTCTGTCCACACAATTCTGCTCCTCTTTCCTCCCCCTTGTCAAGAAATAGGTCTGGCATGAGTATTGGGGTGGGCAGTGAGGTACCAAGACCACCATGACCTTGAATAGGTTTCAGTGGCCATAGTATGCTAGGTCATCCCACCTCCCAAAGCTTAGTCAACTGAGCCAGAGGAGAGTACCTGAGACAACCAGACTGATTTCTACAGCAGTTTAAACTGAAAGCGGATGAGAGTGTCTCATGCCTGTACAGCAGTCTCTGAGCACAATCCCTGTCCTCATGTAGTAGGGAAACCAAGCAGAGGGGCCCAGTATGCAAGGAACAAGAGGCAAAAACACAGAGAGATAAGGCAAAGGACAGGGAGGTGGCAAGATTTTGCCTGTGCCCCCCTCCTCCCACCCCCAGTCCTTTTTAACCCATTCAGAGCCATCTATTTTTTTTTTTTTTTTTAAATTCTTCTTGTCTTAAATTCAGTTGTTTCCTCTTACAATAAAAAGGGCCTTTCTAAGCTCTGGCTATCAGTGTGCCCAGGTGTGGCCTTTGTAGGGGGGAATTGTTTGCTAATTATTGTGTAACTGACTTGTACTTTAGAAGGTGCAGGCAATTGGGGATTTATTTTTTTTTTTAATAACAGAAGAAAGATCTTATCTCAGAGCCCCAGCTGCGAACTGTCTGAAAATGTGGGTTTTGCTTTTGAACATGCTACCCTATCTATATATGAGGTGTAGCTGCAGGAGTTCTGGGAAGAGGTTTGGGGTTTGGGGGCCCCATCCAGAAAAGGCAACCCCCCTAGTGCCTGTGAACAAAGGAGAGCATTTCATCTGATTTCATGTCTGGGGGAGGAGGGGTTTATTCATGGGCCTTTTATTATGGGCCTGTGATTCACCCAGGTGCCATTCCCATTTCTTTTATTTTCCTTAAGCGTTTTTATTTAGTTTTAGAATTCTGTAATTTTTTTTCTTCATTTATTGCCTTCAATGTGTTGCTGAGTCTGTGCCAGGGGCAGATTTTTTTTTTTTTTTTATGTTGTGCTGGGGATTAGAACCCAAGGCCTCATGCATGCAAGGCAAGCACTCTACCAACTAAGCTCTATCCCCAGCCCCCATTCCCATTTCTTGAACACAAGTATCATTTAAATAATTTTTTGTGGTTTGTGCATGATGTGGAGTTTCACTGGGGTGTCTTCATCGTTGAACATAGTAAAGTTACATCTGATTCATTCTACTAACCACAGAATGGGATCCTAATTAGAATAAATTATACTCCACATATGTATAATATGTCAAAATATACTCTACTGTCATGTATATCTAAAAAAGAATAAGTAAAAATGAATAAATAAATAATTTTGTGAGAGTGTATCAATAAAATCAGCCAAATATATGGGAGTCTTTGGTTTATATATTTAGAGGCCAAAAGTATAAGCTTTGGGATCAGAAAGACCTTGTTCATGACTGAGCTCTAATCCTTCTACCCCCATGACTCTGAGCAAGTCCCTTCACCTCTCTGTGCCTTTGTTTTCATATTTGGAAAATGGGGAAGATTTAATTAGATTGTCTTTGCGACAGAGTAGGGAAAGAAAATTCCCGAAACTACCAGAAACTTCCAGGCAAAAGAGGTGTTGGGGTGAATTTGAGCATGACCAATGACCCTCTGCTCCAAAGTTCCCTGAGATTTCAGATGGCTTTAGGGTTGTGCACTTGGCATTCCTCCCCTGAGTCAGGGTGCAGCTCTATTGACAGATGCTGGGTGGCATGGGAGGAGGAGTACTGGGTGTGGGACCACGAAATGACTGGGGTGGGGTGGAGGGTAGGCAGACTTCTGGACCAGGTCACCCTGCCCAGCTATGTAGCTTCCTGGGTTTAGGCTTAAAGCCAGAGTCAGCTATAGAGACTTCCAACTCAGGGGCTCTAGCCTGCAGTGGCTAGAGGAGTTTGGGGTCTGGAAGTGGTCCTGAAGAGGACACATACCTGGAATCCATAGCCTGTAAGATGGAATTTAAGACACAGGCACAGAATGCTTTTATTATGGGCATTATAACCCATGGAGTGAGTGTAAGGAGAGAAGAGAACTGAGAGTTGAGGCTCAAGTATGCTTCCATCATGTGTCAAGGAGAAAAGCAACAGGGATGAGCAAGAGGCTGATCAGGAGCAAAGGACAAGAGTAAACATAGGCAAGGGCTAGAATACAGCTAGTGATAGAGCTCCCGGGTTTGATTCCCCAGGACCACTAACATTAAACAAATGAAAAGGCTTTGGGAGGAAGCTCAGTGATAAAGTACCCCTGGGTTCAATTTTCAGTACCCAAAATATTTTTGAAAAAAAGAAATTTAAGAGTAAACACAGAGCCAGTCACAGTGGCACACACCTATAGTCTTAGTGGCTTGGGAAGCTGAGGCAGGAGGATCAAAAGTTCAAAGCCAGCCTCAGCAAAAGCAAGGTGCTAAGCAACTCAGTGAGACCCTGTCTCTAAATAAAATACAAAATAGGGCTGGGGATGTGGCTCAGTCGAGTGTTCCTGGGGCTGGGGATGTGGTTGAGTGTCCTTGAGTTCAATCTCTGGCATCCCCCCAACCTTCAAAAAGAGTCAACACAGGCAAGGTGTTGATCTGTAAGCTGAGAGAAGGAAGAATTTGGAAGAAGAAGAGGGAGAGCTAATCATTCAGTGAGGAAGAGTGCTGAGAAGGAGATTTTGGACTTTGTAACAGTGACATCATTGTCATTGCAGGCTGACTTTTATCCCTTGCAACTGGGAGAGCAGGCTGTCCCTTTCTTCTGGATAGGCCTTCAGTGTGTGAAGTGATCTGCAATAACGCTACCTCTGGCTGTGTCCTGGAGAGAAGCCTTGGCTGTCACAGGTGGTTTACCTTTTTATTAGGGTATTGGCAACACATAAGTTTGGGCTGTAACTCACTTGCCAGGCTTCTGGGCCAAGCACTGCTACTCTTCCCTCCCCAACCCCTGCCACAGGGGCTCAGAACTCGCAGATCACAAGTTCCTGCTCTCCACAATGTTCGTCATTCCACTTGCCATTGGCGAAGATCTCTACACAGTTCTCTGCCCCGCCATTGTTGTTGGGCTCCCCTGGGGCCCAGTTGGAGTAGACCAGGGCCTCCCCAGTGGGGTAGATGAACTTGCCCTCCGTCTTGGTGTCTGTCATGCTCAAGAAAGCAGACTTGTTCTGAGCTGTGACCAGCTGTTGCAAAGCCTCATTCTCAGCTGCAGAGCGAGGGGAGGCCAGCTGTCCGCCGGCCTGGGTGCACACCTCCTGCGCACCCTCAAAAGTTTTTTCAAAGCCAGCTGTTTTGAAGATCTTGTCCCCAACACTTCGGCCATCCGGGAAGAGCTCAGCTGGGAGAAGAGGGGAATCAGGTTGAGATGGGATATTCCTGGCCAAAGTGCAGGGGCTCTGAGATCTCTGTGCTGCAGCCCAAGCCTTCCAGACCTTCCCAGGCAGGGCCTCAGGGCACCAGAGGGAATGTGAGACACTTGGTTCCGGAGAAGCCCCATCCCCATAATGCACACTGCAAACTGGTACTGTGGTCCCTAGTTCACAGATGACAGAGCTGGAGTTCAGAGCAATTAAGAGCCATGCAACCATCCTACTTAGGGATAAAACCTCACGAAGTCCGACACCAAAGCTCAGGCCTGCCCTTTCTGTTTCAGCTCTGCCCTTTCGGTAGTGTGCTGGCATTGATTTTTAATTACTATGGAGAGCTGGACAACTTGACCTGGGAAATGATTACTGTGTAACCTGAGTCCATTTCTGAGAGTACAGAAAACAATGCTGTGAGCCCACTGTCACCACTGTTGTTATGTTGGATTGTTTGAGTTGTGTGAGGGATAAGGGGACAGGAGAGGATAGGGTGGGACATCTGAGACCTAAATGTGCTGATCTCTGCCCTAGGTCAGTCCCATGTTGGCTTCTCAGTGGAAGATGCCCCAGCCTGTCAGGTGCTGGGGAAGGGGACAAGGGCATCTGAGAGGAGGACTTTTGTAAAATTAGTGCTGGAGAGAGGCTTGGAAAGAAATCATATCTGACCTTAAGACCCAACCTGGCAATGACTGTCTTGGGGACAAGACAAAGTCACTTTCCCTTTCAGAATTTGCATTTCTTCTCCTCTAAAGTGAGGGGTCACTTCACAAAAGTACCATCAGTGTAACATGTCAAGTATCTTTTTTTATATTCTCATCCTTGTGGCTTCTGGATCCATGTGTGGAAATCTGGCAAAGGACACTGGGCTCCAGAATGGGCTGCATCCTTGGAATTGTTGGGCTGGTCAGAATCCAGGCTGCATTCTGGATCACTGTTTTCCTCTGGGCATTTTTAACAAGGTCTTGGCAGGGAAGATTGTCCACAGACCCAAGATGGCACCCAGAGCAGCCCTGAACAAGCTCAGTGTAAGATCATGTGCCATTACTGGGTGTAAGTTCCATGGTCCCAGGGCAGTATGCATGTGCTACACGAATATGTTCATGAGTTCATCTAAAAGTATGTGGACATGTGTTAGGTCCAGCCAGTTGGTTGTGCATATGAGCTTGTGTATGTAGATGGATGTGGAATGAATGATGATATTTAAGTATACACATAGGTGGCAGGTGCATGTATACATGTTCTTCATGTTTGCATCAGCGTGCTTATGAGCAAATGAATACATGTATAAGTATGTTTACGGAGAGAAGGAAACGTACAAATGCTTAAAACTCTCACCTCAGCCTGGGTGCTTAGGAGCCAACCCCATGTCTTATCCAAACAAAACCCTTTATGTTCTACTTATTCAGAAAACTTCTTTTTCTGACTCAGTGAGATTTATCTAAAGAGTATGAACTCAAAATTGATGTCACAGAGGACAGAGGAGGAGGGGGCAGCTGGGAACTAAGGTAGAGATTTTAAAAGGCACAGAGCACTCAAGTGTGAGCTCTTGGGGGGCCATGACACCACAGGATTGCACATTTAAGGTAGAATCTACTCTAAACACATCAGGGATTGCAGGTAGAGCCTAGCATTAGCTGGAACCCCAAGGCAGCCTGCCCCTTGCTTGACCCAGGAGCATGAGTAAGGAAAGATTCTCAATGACCAGTCATCAAAGTCAGTCCCTCACCTGCCTTGTACCTCCAGCCCCAACCCTCAGGACAGCAACTGCATTCTGTCCTGCCTTGAACTGTGCAGCAACATCTCTGAGCACTCCCATGCCTGGCTTCACAGGGGTAAGTAATGCAATGTGTTTGTCACAGGGACTAACTCAGTCAGACAGGAAGGAAGGTCGATTGAATTGCCCTGCACTTGAGACATCTGCCTTGGGGCATGGATGGCACTGAGGTTGAAGGGTGCTCTGGAGCGTGGTGGTTTCAAATATGCATCTGCCAGCCCACTGAACTGGTGATATAGACTACTAAATCCTCCTCCTTGTTCCTTGGATCTACTTCTAGGTTGTGGAACACATGGCTTCCCTCCCCAGCCCCAGCTTTATCCCCAGTCCCAAGCCCAGCCTTAGACATAGTCCCTCACTGGGTAAGGCTCAGTGTCAGCCCCACCTCAACCCTAAACCCATGCCCAGAACCAGTATGGGGCCCAACATTGGTATGAGGCTGAGGTTCAAATCCAGAAGCTCACCTTTCTTATACTGAGAGAAGACAGTCTGAAGGTGCTGTAGCTGTCCCTGTAAGTCCTTCACCTGCTGCCTCATGGCAGTGATGTCTGCAGGGGAGAAAAAGGGCCATGTGAAGACTTGTCCAGCACATCCTAGGAAGAGCTCAGAGCCCAGGCCTCATGGAAGGGTACGGAGTTGTAGCTACATATTGGGGATGGAGGTGACGGATGCCCAGTAGCCCACACCTGCTGACCCAATTGGACCCTGCTGTATGAGGCTTTCTTATGGGAATTTAATCATATATCCATTTTTTGAGGGTGGGGTGAGTGGGAATACATTCCTTATATAATTCCCATCCATTGGATTATTTAATGCTCAAAGCTATCTGGTGAATGGGAAAGACAGCTGTCATTTTCCCAGTGGTCTGGTGGAGAAACTGCTCAGGTCAACCTTCCCACACAGCTAAGACCTAATTCTGCCTGCCAGCCTTTCCCTAGTTGCACCCACCACCTGTAAACAATGGGGATGTCATCCCAGGGAAGAGGCCAACCTGAGCAGAAGGCGGCTACACTTTTCCCTCCCATGCCCTGGTGGGGGTTCCGGAGTCAGGAGCTGCTGCCTTACCTGATACCCCACTTTCACCCTTTTCTCCTCTGTCTCCAGGAGCACCTCTGTCCCCCTTCAGTCCAGGAGGGCCCCTGGCTCCTGGGGTTCCCTGTGGACCCACAGCTCCAGCAGGCCCTGGAATCCAAGAAGGGCTAGGTGAGCTATGGACTCTATTTACAGCATTTTCACCTTTTCAGTACATGACTTGCCCTCATTTCCCAGCTACACACTCTCCCAGCATACACGCTCTTCCCAGAACCCAGTCGTGTGCCCTCTCTGGGCACAACTATTCCCATCACACAACATTCAATCTTCTCTGTGTACAACTGCCCCTGTCACTAACAACTAACCTTCTGTGGATACAGAACCATCTCAAGGCTTAGCACTGCACTCTCCCTATATATGGTCAGTTCCCGGAGATGAAAAGTGCACCCTCCTTGGATACAGACTCTCAACAACACCCGCCCAGACTTCGTGGGTGGTGGTGGTACAGGGGCTAGGCAGTGGTAGCTCCAAATGGACACCACATAATTGGATCCAGCCCAGATCTTTCCATCACTCACCTGCTGCCCCAGCATTTCCAGGAGCTCCATGCTCACCAGGGGCACCTTTCTCTCCTTTAGGGCCTGTGGGGCCTCTGGTTCCTGCAGAGCCCTGCGGGCCTGGGGCACCTATTTCTCCTGAGGAAGGAACAAACAGGGACAAATGCTTCTGAGAGTGTGTTCAGCATGTATCATCTCCTCAGTAGAAGAGCTTTTTACCCACAACTCCAGGGTCTGAGAGAGAACTGGGGAGACTGCACCTGTTACCTGGGCTCCTCTGTGGAGGGTAAGAGGAAATTACTGTTAATGTGGGAAAGGTGAGTAAAGATGTGTATGGTGAGGCCTTCATAGTATTCATGGTCTGGGCTCTTCCTGGCAAGTTATGCCTCAGGTCACATCATGGTCCGCCATCATCATTTCTCCCTTCTCCCTCCCAGACAGGCCATATCACATTCACCTACCTTTGGGCCCCACCTCTCCTTTTGGACCTGGTTTGCCTTGTGGTCCTATGTTCCCCTGCTTCCCTGAAGGACCTTCTTTTCCAGCTGGACCAGGCACACCTTGAAGTCCTGGGGGTCCTGGAGAAAAGGACCAATCCTGTCAGTGACACTAAATCCTCTTGACAGTAGGAGTGCATAAAGTGACAGTAATAGTAGAGGACAAAGAGGAACCCCACAGTAGGCCCAGTCTGAAATAAGCCAATGCCACCTTCAGAACAACCTTCTTCCTGGTCTGGGATCTGTGCATGAATACTGGAATAGCCTATTGGCAAAATCACCTTTTTTAAGATGCCTGAATTCCATGTCTAGTTGCTTACCATTTGGCCCAGAGTCTCCTTTGGGTCCAGGTTCTCCAGCAGAGCCATTGTCCCCTTTTGGTCCAATTGGGCCAGCTGGCCCAGGGAGCCCCCTTTGCCCTATAGCTCCTGGCAAACCTATAGCAGCAAAAGAAATGGGTATAAAGTTAGCCCTAGGCCCAGGAGGGTTAAATCCCTGGCATTCCTTCAGGGTTTTGCAAAGCAGTGACATTTCATGGTCACACACAGTGGTCCTGTGGTGATCCAGGAAATGGACCTTAGCATTCCCATTATGAAGAAACAGACTTGTCAGAGGTAAATTCAAACTAAGTGCTTCTTCTCCTGCCCTAAGGTCTCAGTATCAACAGAAGGCAATCTGTCAGCATTTGCCTATGATCACACTCACACTCACACACACACACACACACACACACACACACACACATATATATGTGATATATATATATATGTGTGTGATACATATGTATATGTATGTGTGTGTGTGTGTGTGTGTGTTGGGGGAATCAACATTTATATCAGAAATGATACTAAATAGAGGATAATTTGTTCAGTTATTTGTGCACTTACTCATTTAGTTGTTCATATGGAACCCCCAAAACATAGAAAACAAAAGCAAACATTTGACCTGTGTGCTTACATAAACTAAAAATGGTCTGCACAGCAAAGGCAACAATGAATGGAGTGATGAGGCAAGCAGCAGAATGGGAGAGAATTTTTGCTAGCTATTTAAGTAATCAAAAAACGTTTAAGTAACTCAAAATATTTAGAAACTCAAAAATATTTAAGTAACTCAAAAAACTTAACAACCCCAAATAAGTAATCCAATTAAAACTGGGCAAATGATCTAAATAGACACTGCTCAAAAGAAAAGATGGTCACCCAATATAGGGAACAAAATGCTTAATATCTTTAGCCATTGGGAAATGCAAGTCGAAAACTACAATGAGATACCATCTCACCCAAGTTAGATTCGGTATTATCAAAAAAGCAAAACCCAACAAAAACAAAAGTAATAAATACTGGCATAAATGTAGAGAAAAAAAGAACTCATCCACCATTTGTGGCGATGTAACTTAGTATGTCCCTTCTGGAGAAGAAGGTTCCTCAGAAAACTAAAAATAAATCTACCCTATGATCCAGCTCTCCCACTCCTGGGAGAAATGAAATGAAGCCAGCACACCAAAGGGATGATGCCTGCATCCTGGCCTATTGTGACACTCTTCACAATAGCTGAGATATTCAATCAACCTAGGTGTGCAACAGATAAATGGTTAAAGAGAATGTGTACACAGACACAATGCAATGTTATTCAGCTGTAATGAAGAATGGAATCCTGTCATTCACAACAAAATGGATGGAACTGGAGGACATGATGTTAAGTGAAATAAGCCAAACAGAAAACACAAGTCCTTCATATTCTCTTTCATATGCGGAAGTTAAAAACCATAAACCTGAACCTAGACTAGTGATTAATAGAGATTGAGAAATGTGGGGGTGGGATAGGGAGAGAGTAAATAAAGGGAAGCTGAATTTGATCTGCACATGCTGCATGCATGTGTGGAAATACCACACGGAACCCCAACAATATATACAATTAATGCATTTTAATAAAAATGAAAAAGAACTCAACCATGCACATCTACTTTATAATTCCCACTGGATCAAAAGCAAATATTAGTCTCAGGCCCTGATATAAAATTTATAATGAACTGTGAGACAGGACAACAGATGAGGAAGACAGTGCATGAGATGCCTCTCGTCTCATCCCGGTGTCCCTGCCCCAGCACCTACACACATCCTTGGAGCTATCTTTCTAGAGGAGAAAATGAGACTTGAAGAGTGGGAAGGGTTTAGAGAGCCTATCTTCTTAAATCAGTTTAGAGAGAAGAGATGTGACATTTCAGTCTTGGAAGATATGCTCCTGTGGCAGGAAAATCCAGGCCCTCTGGGGTCAGGAGTGTGGTTGGGGTAAGGGTAACTGAATTTGCCAGATGAATGGAAGATTCTGTGCTGGGTTCTGTTTCAGCTTTTGATTACTATCCTTTCTAGGAATGAAATGGAAGCATAGAAGGTTACAAGACAGATCCATATCCCACTTCCACAGAGCACTGGGCTGAGGACACAGATGTCCCAAGCTCAGGCTCAGCTTCTCTCAAACTCCACCATACCCAGGCTGGCAACAGGCATATTGGGCTAAAGAAAGCAAGTCATCTCTAGAATGGAGTGTTAGAAGCCACCTGTTCTTGGTGTACAGAGGCCACAGAGCATTGAGGTGGAGGAGGGGCACCCTCCTCAACAATAGCACCCATGCCTCTAAAGCACTAACTTTGCATTAGGGTCCCCAAAGACCTAGCTCTGTGCCCTGGTGCCACATAAAGTGGAGCTTTGTGATCTAACAATTTGGTCAATCTTGGCAATACTAAAATTCCTCCTACCCTTCCATTTTATACTCATTTACTAATTCCAATAATATTTATTGAAGTTCACTGTCCTAAATGTTGGGAATATGGTAGTGAATAAAACAGATCCCACCTCCTCCTCCTCAAAAAATCTCTTTGAATCTACTGCATAGAAACAAACAATCAAAAATTAAAATGTACAACCTATGGCTTATGAGATTGTAATAAGTGCCACAGAAACAAAATAAAGGTGGTTGTTCAGGTATCTGTTTTAAGCAGAGTATTTATGACCTCCTTGCTGGGAATATAGATTTGGGTGTAAGGCCTTGAAGGAGCCATAGGGACATCCATGAGAAGAGTGAGAAGAGCAAACTACAGGAAACTGAGGAGAGAGGGGCCCAAGTGTGGTTAGAGATCAGCAAGAAGCCCGTGTGCTTGGAGCCAGGTGGGTGTGAGAGTAGAAGCCATTGAGACCAGAGAAGCAAGCAGGGATGAGAAGGTCATGTAGGGCCTGCAGGGTGCTGCAAGTGGGGGGTTACTCTGAGGAAGTTGAGTGTCCCTGGAGAGACTCTCCCTGAATCTTTTCAGGCAGGAGTGCAGGAGGTGCTGAGACACAGGAAATCATCCTCCACAGGCAAGGTCTGGTCGTTCTTGCTCTCTATAATGCATCTGAGGCCCCTGGGCTAATCACTCCAGGACGACAACTCTACCTTCTACTCTGCTCAAGCGTCTCGCAGGCACCAGTTGTCCTTTTCAGGAAGTTCTAGGGACCACATGCTTCAAAATCTGCCGAGCAGAATATCACAGTACAGACTTTGGCCCCACACAGACCTATGGAACAGCATCTGAGGGTGCTTTGGACTCCCCAGGACATTCACAGACCCATGTGGTCAAATAACTTGAGTGAGTAGAATGGAGGATTCAGAGTGAGCCTCCGTCTCCATCTACTGTGTGCTGTTCTCTAAGAACTGACCAAAGTCACATTTGGTTGTGCAGGGGGCAAGGCACCTGCAGAGGAAAGGGAGGTCTTGGTCATAGTCCATGTGGCAAGATCAAGGACTACTAGGAAATGTCCCACAGGAGCCAGAGAGAATTGAGACTCCCTGAGAGAGAGCTGTACAGTGAGTTGGTTCCTCCTCCAAATTCACCCCTGGACAGCCCTCTCCATGCCCCAGCCCACTCACACTGGGGAGCCACTTTCTGTCTCTAAAAGATAAGCTGGTACTCATTTGCCCCTCACCCTACAAAGCCTAGGGATGTTAGTCTTTCTGACTTAAGTGTCATTCTTTTCCTTTCTCCCTAACCAAAATGCAAACTCCAGAAATATACTCAAAGCTGTGGCCTAGGACCACATGATTCCTTGGTTGATGTTGCTATTTGTTGAATGTTTCCTTCTTGCCAATAAGATACAGAGCCTTCCCCAGGGCAGGGACAGTATTTCAGGGACCATTTCCTATTTCTTAGTACCTTTGGTAACCTCAAGAGAATTTACCCAATTAGTATAGCAGGAAAATGCATCTTCATCCTAAAGACTCAAAAAATAATGATAGTAAAAAGTTTGGCTCAATTATTTGTCACTGGGCAGCAAACAATATTCCCTTTTTCATATAAGCAAACTAAGACTCTGTGACACTAAGTGGCTTGTCCCAGGGAGTCCCAGACCTGGAGCTACTAGTCTAGTTCAGATGTGTCTGATGAGAAGCCCATATCCTCTTAACCTCTAGAATGGTTTTATTTACCCTCTCTGAGTCAGTTGTCTTACCTGTCAGTAGAAACTAGCATGTTCCTTGTAAGGCTATGAAAAGGTTAAGTGAATACCCAAGCACAGGACTCCACAAAGAAATATGAGCTTCTGCTCTCCGCTTGTAATGTTTTAAGACAAATCCATTTGATTAGATCTGTATATGGGGCCATGAAACCTCATCTTTTGTCACCTTTCATATAGTAGAGTTTAAATAAACATTAAAAGTATTTAATACCCTGGGTAGGTATCATTTAACCAAAGTGAACTATTGCTACCTCCTGGAACAGGGTCCTAGAGCTCCCCTAAATATCAATAATTTACCCACTCTGTATTCATTTTATGGGTAAGGGAAATCCAGGAGTCCTAGGGGAAGAGTCAGGTCATTTGGGAGATGTGGGAAGCACTTGGGGGCGTGGGACAGAGGACATTTGCCAACTGGTAAAACATTGTTTTAGATAGAACAAACATTGGTGGAAACCCACCCCTATGGTGGAGGGTGGGAGAAGCCCATCTCCAAGTCTTCCATTGCAAATATCCAGACTTGAAGGTTTGTTATCATTCCAAGGCTCAGCCTTCCCCACCCAGATAAGCCACCGGTCCCAGCTCTACCTGGATCCCCCTTCTCGCCCCGGGGGCCCTCTCTCCCATCCCTTCCATCGCGACCAGGCAGGCCATTCTCCGTGGGGCTGCACATGACCAAGGTACAGGTGCTGGCCATTGATCTCTGCAGGTAGTTCATTTCTACTCCCAGGTAACCCAGGGGCTGAGCAAGCAGGACCAGCATGGAAAGAAGGAGGAGCATCATGGCCTGGGGAAAGGAACAGAAAGAGAAAGGATATGCTGTCAGTTCCAGGACATGGGATAAGGCTGGGCCCAGGTCCTGGAGGTCAAGAGAAGTCCCTGTCCCCAGCTCCCTGCTGTGGGCTTAGAGAAGCAAGACTCCAAAAGCAGTTCAGGGAAGTAGACTTTTAGTCTGACTTTGGAAGGCCTGAGTTACCCCACTGGAACTGTGTCATAGGTTGACAGTAGTTTCCATCTATCCTCAGGTGCCCCATGAGAACAGTGGCTGTGGTTTGGTGTTCCTCACTAAGGCCACATGTACATCTGGAAGGATTCTTTTGAGTACCTCTGAGTAGGACACTTCCCCTCCCGGGATCAGGCAGTCGGATCAACTCAAATAAGACAAATCTGCTTCCTCTCACTTGCTGTCTTGGTGGATCAGCACTGGCTGCCTACCACACTAGTCTGAAAATAAGTCTAAATCCTGAAGGCTTTGTCATGTCTGTCCTGAGCTTGGGCAGGGAGTGGGCTGTATGTTAATTGAGTGATTTTTCATTCCTGGACCAGGCACTGACTCCATGAAGAAAGTACCAGAGGAAACTCAGGTAAAAGATTTCAAAGATATTAAATTAGTGGCTGGAGTGACCCAAAGACATCTAGAAGTCTGCCCTGGAAGTGTGCTTGGAGGAAGAGGACATCCCAAATGGGCTCAGTCAGGTGAAAGGCTAGTTTTAGGGAATAGCAAGAGAAACTATCCAATAGAGAATCCATCTGAGAGGGGCTTTGGAACTGAAATCGGGGGCAGGATGGGTGTGCAGGACCTTGGTTACTCCCTACATTGGGCATCTGTGCTAATTTTCCATCACTATGACAAGCATCTCAGATAAACCACTTAAAAGAAAGAATGGTTTATTTTTCCTCATGGTTAAGAGATTTCATTCCATGGTCATCTGGCCCTATTGCCCTGGGTCTGGGGTGACACAATAATACATAATGATGGGATCAAATGGCAGAGAAGCCCTGTCCATTTCATTCGAGCCAGGAAGATGAGAGTGGAGGGGGCCAGGGTCACAAAATCCCCTTCAAGGGCATGATCCCAAAGACCTAATTTCCTTCCACTAGGCGCCACCTCCCAAAGGAGCTGCCACCTCCTGATAGCACAGCAGGCTGGGGACCACGCTTCAACTCAAGGGCCTTTGGGGGACATTTAAGATCCAAACTAAATCAGCATCTTTCCTCTCAAAGAAAGAAACTGCTATGAGAATGGAAAGAACCAGTGGGAGTCACAGAAGCTGGGAACAAAGCCAGAGTACACTGTGCAAAGATGATGGGCTCTCTAGGAGGACTGGAGTGGAGGCAGGACAGGGGCTTCCTGGCCAGAGAGATGCCTCTTTCAACAACTGCTAGTGATTCTGGGCTGTGACTCTTATTTTCCATTGACCCCTTTCACTTTTGAAATCATGACTTCCTCAAGTACCCTGGAATTCTCTAGAAACACCTGGGTGAGCCTGCAGGCCAGTACTTCTTTGTCCCTGTTCTGCCAAAGTTCAGTCCTGAGCACAGGGTATTGTCCCCTGGCCCTCAATCCAGGGCCCTATGGCTGATTCTGGGAGATTATAAAAGACAACAGGCAGTCTGCCCACAAAGCTCAAGTTACTCCAGAAGGCACCACCAGCATTAAGGAGTCTTGCAGAGGGCAGACACACAGATTTTCAGACAAGAGATTCAGGAGGCAATGTAGACTGGCAGCAGATGGAACGGGCAGAACCACAGTCCCTAGAACCCCTGCAGTGCTCAGTTTATGCCATGCTTTCAGCGTAAGAGTTTATTGAAAAAGTGACTCTTCAGAACATTGGTTGGAAAATCAGAGACTGAATCCAGTTAGTGTATTCTTTAAAGACTTGAGGTTGTGAGAGAAGCAGGTTTGGCCAAAATCCATAGGGAAATGGTACCAAGTTGGGTTTAAAACCCAGGCCTGAGAATGCCTAGTCTGTTTCTCCTCCACTGTTTTTCTTTTTGAACAAATCAGGGACAGAGAAGGAACCCAGACCAAAGCTAGAATTGGATTTCCCTCCTGAAGCTTCTGTACCTGGCACCTGAGGTCTCAGGGGGTATCATTTTTCACTCATCTTCTCTACCACAGCTCAGAAAGCAAATCTCCCACTGAGTCCAGCAAGCTGAATGAGGGGCAAAGAGAACCTTCTTACCCCATTGTGCCCTCATCCCCAAGCTCACAACTCCTAGACCAGAACCAAGAATTGGAAACCAGAATCACCCTTCCTCAACACCAGTAAACTGCTCAGATAGGCAGGGGGGATATTCACAGGATATGGGGGAAATAAAATGAGAGGCAGGGGCAGAGACACTCACAGATTTCTTCCTCTAAGGTCCCAGGAGCTCCAGGCAAATGAGCTTGGTTTGGCAGGCACTCACTCTTTATGCCTTCTCTGTCACCTGAGCAGCACAGCCCTGGTCTTCTGAGAACACCCTTTGAGAATTGGAAGAGTTTTCTTCCTTGTTGACTCACTCACTCTCACCCCTGCCTGCATTCTGGAGACCTGCTGTGGATAGTCATAGCACTGTGCACGTCTATCTCCTTAAAGCTTACAAAGCATTCTCAGTCTGTGATCCCATCCATACCTTCCCTGCAGCTCTGGGAGTTAAGTAGCATCACCGGTGTCTATATTTTATAGATGTCCAGGAATTTGAGGTCCAGAAATGTATGTGTTGCACAATGACCTACAACGATTGCAAAAGCAACTTGCATCTATCTCAAGAGCCAGGACCTACTTCTCTTTTCTCTTCATCTCAACAGCACTGCCCAGACATTGGGAAAGAGCTGCTTAGCATATCCAGGCAGGGTTAGGGCAGGTTCAGGGGCTGCAGAGGTAGAACCCTGTGGAGGAGTGACAGAGGTACCTCTGGAAGTGGTCATTATTTTCCATCCTAGTAGAACTCAGCCCTTCACTTACCTTTTGTAGTATGGGCTGCCTTCAGCAGGCCTCTGCTCTGCCCCTGTTCAAACACATTCTGCTTTCTTAACTGCTGTTTACCTTGTGCATGGCTCTAGGGATTGTTTAGACCCTTGAGCTCTTAACATGCTGTTGCAACCACTCTCAGGGCAGCTCTTAACTTCCAATGCCTGTTGGGCAGTTGTCCTTCCTACTGCCATTGGTATCATCCTTCCTTCCTTCTAGATTCCTGGGACTTGATTTCTTGCATCAACTCTGCCTGACTCCATTACCAGCAGACCCATGTCTCCAATCCGCTTCTTTGGCCACCCTAATGGTAGCACTGATTGTTCTTGCTTTTGATTTTCAGGACATCTTCTTGCATATTGTGAAATCTAAAATGCCAACTAACCCTATTTGGTAGAGAAAGGTCTGTTTCTCCCACTGTAATTTTTTTGGAGCAATATTCCATAGCAAATCACTCATGCTCTGACAATAAAGCTGTTTTAGTAGTAACACACAGTTTTCTCCATTCTAGAATATTCACATGCCTCCTAGAAATCTGGGTCAGCGTGAAACTATTGCTTTCTTCTACCCACAAAGAATACTTGTCAAGTCCTATCCTGGTGTCTGGCCAAATCTTTCTTATTAGTGGTGGCTTTTATTTCAGGAACCTCGTACTTTGTGTCTCTTTGCAAGCACATTCTATTCTCTCACCTGTCACCTCTTAGCTTGCCCAGTAGTTTTCCCCCAATGCTCTTGGATCCCATTATAGAACAGAAAATGCTGTGTTCTAATTCTAGTTTCACACTCCAGAGGAGTCTAGTTTTATTTCTGATCCAACCCAGAGATAACTTTTGTTTTCCTGAGTTACACCTATATTGATGAGAAAAATCAGATTTTGGATGGTGACCATAGTGTCCATCATCCAGAGGATCTTTGAACCACTCTCTCTTTGCAAGACAGGGTCCAGGGTGGCTACATGGTTTCTTTGATAGCCAGCCACTCACACTATACTATAGCCTTGTCAATATTTGCAGCCCCTGGTGGGTTTGATTAGCTGCACTTTTGTCAGAGCTAAGTGGCAACCTGTGATTGCCCCTAAATACTCTGAGCTCATTAGGACACAATCAGCTATATGCAAGTTTTCTCATCCCTAGACTTACCTTTCACAGGTACCCACTTTCCTGGGAAAATGACTCTATTTCAGATTTTAGGTGACTCTGTAAGTATAGCTTACATTTTTAAATTTAAAACATTTTCAGTTTCCCTCCTTTTCTACCATACTTTTGTTACCAAAATCAAAACAAACAAAAAACCAGACCAAAACCCCTCTTTTTTTAATGGGAATCTGTCGACTTCTTATTTTATTATTAATGCCAAAGATGTTAAGATAATTTTATGAACTCAAAATTTTTTAAGTAATGAAATTTCCATTTTATTATGCAGTTTTATATCATAATAGTTCAAATGTGGTTCTCTACAACTACTGTTCCAAAGCTCCTTTGGGATTGAGTTGTCCCTAATGGAGCTTTCACCACTGACCTTTGAGTTTAACAAACAAAATTCCAAATGACTAAATTTTTATATAAATGAGCTAAGAAACAGTCTTCAGATAATTAGGGGTGTTAATCTCCATCAAGACATGTTGCTGAAACGTTTATTCTGGTACCACAGTTATAAGTCAGAATCTCCAAAAAACAAAAGGCTAACAAAAGTAAATTGTAAATCAGAGAAGCTTTCGCAGATTAAACCTCCCAGTCAAGCCCAAGAGAAGCAAGGCAAAACAACTTTCCTGCAAACTAAATGGGTCTCCAAATATTTGCATCTAGTTGAGCTTTCAGAGATAGATACCTAAGACCTATCATTAATATATTTACTATCCCCGCTGTGGTTGCATTGATTACACTTAAAGAGTTTAACACCCATCCAAGTCCAAAGGTGGAAGAACACATATACTGGTATGGTCATCACAAGGGCAGACTGACTGTAAAAGTAAAGGCTAGCCATACTAGCATAACCCTGTGGGAAGTTTTCTCTGACAGAGGTGGAGTAAAACAATCCTGCCCAGGGGATTAGCAGAATCTCAGTCAATTTAGGCAGAGGCAGAAACACTCTTCTTCCCCACTTACTACCCATCACCCTGTTTTAAAAGATACATAGTGTTAAGAAAATTTATTTATTTATTTATTTATAATTATGAGCTACTGACGCTCCATTTCTTCTTGCTTCTTATTTTGATGTGTTGTCCTAGCTGCCTGATGATGGGACAGGCTAGGCTATTCCCAGCTCAATTTGTTGAGGCTTCATATCCAGCTTCTTGGAGAGCCTGCACATCAGGAACTCCAGCAATGCTGGGTCGAACGAGCAGGACGGCTCTTTTGCCCTCTAGGCCGGTCTGCTGGGGACAACCATCCCATCTCTCACAGGCATCTATGAGTGACCATAGACAGACAGCTGGCTTGTCCCTCCCAGCAAGGAGGCGAGCCTGCAGTGTGCTGGGTTCAGCCAGATCTGTTGCTGGTAAAAGCACTTTCCGCGCCTAGCCGCGCTCCCTTCTCCGCGCCCCTCCCCTCACGCACCTATTTATTTATTTTTTAAAGTCATTGTATAGAGTTTTTCTAAAAAACGGTGTTTTTTTTTTTTTTTTAATTCCTGTGGGAGTACTTTCCAACAATATTGCTATTTTTGTGGGTCTCTAGGTCATCTCCTTTGAAGGCAAACAGCTCAAGGGACCCAAAGTCCAATGGGATGTACAAAAAAAAAAGGCATCTTTTAAATTTAGGATCCTGTAGTATTTACTATCCCTGGGAAGGTTAGCTAATAAAGTATAGGGATTAGGAACAGCTCATGAATACCATATACAACTTTTCTCCAGGACCCCCAGGAGAAAAGGACCAATCCTGTCAGTGACACTAAATCCTCTTGACAGTAGGAGTACATAAAGTGACAGTAATAGTAGAGGACAAAGAGGAACCCCACAGTAGGCCCAGTCTGAAATAAGCCAATGCCACCTTCAGAACAACTTTGTTTATTGTTGATAAATTCAATAAAAATCTATGTATTTCTATCTTTGTTTAGGTTATTGGTTTTGGTTGATTTTTTAGTTTTTTTCTCCCCCCACCATTTTTTGCCTGGGTTAGTGTTGTTTATTTATTTGTTTTGGTGCCAGGGCGTTTAACCAATGAGCCACATCTCCAGCCCTTTTGAACTTGCGATGCTCCAGCCTCTCAGCCTCTGGAGCCTCCCTGGCTCTCCCTGGTTTCTTAATTGGTAGGACAGGAGTATTATAGGGAGACCTGCAGGGTCTTAGTAAACTGCTTAAAAAGCTAGTCAAGCACAGGTTTGATCTCAGCTGGGGCCTTAGGGTTATACTCTAGGACATCTGTTAATTTGTTTTAAGGTAGCTTTTACAGGTTTAGCACTAATAAGTCATCCCATTTGTCCTCGTGACCAGAACTTGAGCATGACTTGAGTCAGGATATTCTCAGAGACAGTCTTGGGGGACTGTTGGTGTTTTATGGGGGAGCACCATGAGCTTCTCTCCATGACCAGGAACTTGTGTTTGCCTTTTATCCCACTGAAGAATAATAAAAAGATGCCCCTAGTTTGCTTAACAGACTTCTCCTAAGAGGGGAATAGGGCACACAGGAACTCATAGAAATGAGTGCTTTAAAACCTTTGAACCACTTCACAGGTCACCAACAGTTTTTTAAGAGATAAACAAAATTGAAAATCCTTAGTTAGATTAAGAAAAAAGACAAACTCTCAAATAATTAAAGTTATAAATGAAGGAGGATACATTATAACTGATGCCATGGAGATGAGAAAGATTAAAGAGATTACTATGAGCAATTATATGCCAACAAAATGGATATCTCTGAAGTTAATATGCTCCAAGAAAAACAGCATGCAAAGACTTGACATGTGAAGAAATGAAACTCTCAATGGGCCCTTAACTTCTAAGGCTGGGGATATAACTCAGTGAGAGGGTATTTGCCTAACTTGCAAAGGTATTGGGTTTGATCCTCAACACACACATACACACAAAAATGAAAATAAAAATGCAATGTTAATTCAATGTGTGGAAAATCAATGCAATCTACTACATTCATGGAAGGAAGGACACAAACCACAGGATTATTTCAGCTGATGCAGGGGAAAAAAGCACTTGATAAAATTCAATTCTAATTCATAATAAAAACTATTAAAAAACCAGGAATAGAAGGAAACAGTATCAGCATAATGAAGACTATATAAGACTATATAAGAAAACCCCACAGCTGACACCAAACTCAACAGTGAAAGACTGGAGGCCTCTCCTCTCAGATCGCGAAGGAAGCAAAGATGCCCAGTCTCGCCACTTCTATTCAACATGTACTAGAAGTTCTATGAGCAAAGAGACAAGAGAAAGAAACAACAGGCATCCAAATAGGGAAAGAAGAAGGAAAATTCTCTGTTCATAGATGACATGGTTTCATAACTAGAAAAAGCTAAATATGCCACACAAAACTTTCAGAACTAATTAAAAATTTCATCAAAATTATAGGATAATAATCTGTTGTGTTTTCTATGTACAATGAATAGTCCAAAAATGAAGAAATAAATCTCATCACAAAGGCATTAAAAAGAATAAAATACTTAACAAGTTTTAAAAGGAGGCAACAGACCCAATTATTCAAAACTTCAGAAATTTTGTTGAAAATAATTGAATGAGACACAAATAAGCAAAATTATCTTGTGTTCAAGGACTGAAAGACGTCGTGTAGATAATATTTCCATATAACCTACAGTGCTATGCACATTCAGTGCCATCCTTACTAAAATCTCTTGACATTTTTGTATAAATTGGAAAACATAACTTAAAATTTATATGGAATCTCAAGATATTCTGAATTGTGAAAGTAATCTTGAAAAAGAAGGACTAATTTAGAGATCTCACAAATTCTAACTCCAACACTTACAATTCTACAGTAACTAAAACTATGGTACTGGCATAAAGAGCAACAGATCAACGAAACAGAACAGTGAGACAGAATGAAACCAATGGAAAAATGGTCTTCAAAAAGGATGTCAAACATCACAATAGGAAAAGGACATTACTTTTAATATATAGTATAGGAAAAATTGATGTTCATATTTAAATAATGAAGTTAGATCTCTACCCCATACTATATGTAAAATTTAACTTGAAATAGAGGAAAGATTTAAATTTTAAGTCCTGACACTATAAAAATCCTATAAGAAATGAGAACTTCATGACACTGGATTTGGTCATGAACTTTTGGATTAACAATAAAAGAACAATCAACACAAGCAAAACAAGACAAACATGACCACATCAAACATGAAAATGTATGACTAGAGATGCAGCCCATCAGTAAGAATGCTAGCATGTGTAAGAGCCTGGGTTCAAACCCCAGGAAATACACACACACACACACACACAAATTACTGATTTTGTTCCTTTGGTTGAACCATGATTTATTTTGCTCCCTCTTCTGGACAAAAATATTTGGGTTAGACACAGGAGAGTTATACAACCCTAGGTGGAAGTGTGACTTTGCTATTGTATTTAACTGAAGAGCTTCTATTTACTTGTTTGAAGTATGGCTTCAAAAGCTATGTACGGGTGCCAAGTTGACATGGCTGTCACATCTTTGGTTTAAAGCAATGTTTGGATTAAAACTCTACTGAGAAAAAGTTTCAGTTGTCTATACTGCTACAAGGAAAACATAGTGTGTGCTTTTTGTATAACTGATAAGATAATTAGACAATGTATTGGGGAATGACTAACATCATCTGCAGCTAAACACAATTAGCTACATTAACTAGACCAGAGTGTGCTACATGTGTCTGTGTGTGGTCTATGTGTGTTAGTACCAGAAAGGAAAAAAAAATCAGGATTGAACTAAGAGAAACCATATTTTTGAATGAAGAAACAATACTCTCTGGACCCACAGAATCCTACCCAGATGACAAAATGCCAAAACACCCATGGCTTCTAATGCCCCTACAAATGAGACTATGAATGGTAAGGGAAAACCAAGAATCTAGATTGGATGCCTCACTCATGGAGTAGAAATTAACCAAATCAGGGGAAAGCACATCTGAAGGTAAAGGATGCTGAAAATAGCTCCCCAACAATATCTTGGTATTATATTAATGCTGTATCCTACCCTTTTATTTTTATTTTTTTATTATTTTTAATTTATATATGGTAGCAGAATGCATTACAATTCATATTACACATATAGAGCATAATTTTTCATATCTCTGGTTGTATATAAAATTGATGTATTCAAATCAATTCATGTCTTTATACATGTACATTGGATATTAATGCCCATCACATTCCATGCCCATTTCTACTCCCATGCCCTCTCCCTTCCACTCCCACCCCTCTGCCCTATCTAGAGTTTGTTTATTCCTCCCATGCTCCCCCTCCCTACTCGAGTATGAATCAGCCTCCTTATATCAGAGAAAACATTCAGCATTTGTTTTTTTGGGATTGGCTAACTTTACTTAGCATTATCTTCTCTAACTCCATCCATTTACCTGAAAATGCCATGATTTTGTTCTCTTTTATTGCTGAGTAAAATATTCCATTGTGTATATATGCCACATTTTTTTATCCACTCATCTACTGAAGGGTGTCTAGGTTGTTTCCATAGTTTAGCTATTGTGAATTGTGCTGTTATAAACATTGATGTGGCTGTGTCCCTGTAGTATGCTGTTTTTAAGTTCTTTTGTATAGACCGAGGAGAGGAATAGCTGGGTCAAATGGTGGTTCCATTCCCAATTTTCCAAGAAATCTTCATACTCTTTTGTACTATAAAATATCATTTTTATTTTAATGGCCCAGTTTCTGTTTCTACTATATAATGCTAGAGTGTTTTGCTGATCATTTTGTTCCTGGATATCTAGTAGAAAAAGAGGTTTATGTGAATTTGCAAGAAACTTGAAAGTGTTATAGAAATTTGAGCCCAAACTATTTTGGACAGTCTTTCCTACTCTTCCAGACAAAGCAGCAGAAGATTATTCTTTGTACTTAAGGGACTGCCACAGTTTGGATCTTCAGAGTCCCCCAAAGGCCCAGGTGTTCAAGGATTGGTCCCCAGTGTGGAGCTACTGGGAAA